GGTTTCTGCGGACCCTCGCAGGGCCCCGGGGCCGTCAAAAGACCTGAGCTTCCGGGTGCCCTCGCTGTGACTCAGGAGGGAAAGAAACACACAGACACAATGAATCGTCGACCCTCCGGAAAACATGGGAAAATATGGCAAGTGGGGGGGGAAGACAAAAGCCAAGAAAATACAAGAAAATATCGGGAATCCTGTTATTTGTGTGTGTATTTATTCGTGTGTCCCAGGGCCCCCTCAGTGACAAGATCCCGACACGTCGGGAGGCCTGGGGAAGGCTGCGCGGGCACGGCCCAGAGCGCGGAGCGGGGCCGCCCGGGAGCGGGGCGGGTCCGTCCCCAGGAAAGAGAGAGGTGCGCCGCACCGGTCCCGCGGGCGTGGTGCGACGTCGGCGCGGGTGGCAAGGAGGACTGCTTCACAAAAGCGTCTCGCTTCAGGAAGGAGCGCGAGAAGCAGAAGAAGAATGCAATCCACAAGAACTTGAACAATACACCCAACACGGGCCTCTCTGGGGCTTCTCTGGGACCTCCTGGAGGCGTCCCGGGGGCCTCTGGGAGCTGGGCCACCTTTTGGGGGAGAGCCCCCCAAGGCCAGTTCGATGTTTCCCTCCGGGAGCCCTCTTGGGGGCCTCGTGGGCCGACTTGGGTCTTTAGTGGGACGTCATGGGGCCGTCTTGGGCGATATTTGAGCTATGTTGGCCCGTCTTGCGCGTCCTCAACCTCGAAATTGCGAGAACACCAGAATCTGTCCACAACGCATACACTATATGTTTTCGGCCTCTTGAGGCCCTCACGTGGGTCCTTTTGGAGGCCTCTTGGGGCGTCTTGGGGGCCTGTTGGGCCGCCTCAGGTCCATTTTAAACCGCCATCTTGGGCCGTAGTGGACGTTCTCTTGGAGCTGTCTTGAGGCCTCGGACGGCCATCGGAAGCGAAATGGCGAGAAGGCAAAAATCATTGATTGTCTTCAGGTTGTTGAAGGATTTGGGCCTCTTGGCGGCCTCCTGGGGAGGATCCGTGGCCACCTGGGGCCGTCTTGGAGCGTTCTTGGGGCCCCTTGAAGCATCTGGGGAGCCATCTTAGGGCATCTTGGGCTATCTTGAGCCCATCTTGGAGGTAATCTTGGGCTCTCTGAGGCGCTCTTGGAGCCGTCTTGGGCCATCTTGGACGCCCCAACGCGTCACGGAGACCCTCGTCCAGGTCCTGGGAAGGGAGTAGGGGGAGGGGTAAAGCCCTCCCCGAAGGGGAACATGGGGGTTAGAAGAGAAAGCTCCCTACACAACCTACGCCCAGAGGGCTGGTGGGATTCGTCCTGAGGATGGAAGAACTGAACAGAGAACCATTGAAAAACAAGTTGTCCTCTGACAAGTACGTGCAATGTCACTGAAATCCGTTGCCTTTGAAAGGTTAATGGTAGAACGTGGGTCTGCCAGGGCCCCAGAAGCCAGGACTTTGCAAACAAGCTTTTTTTCGCCAGGCCCACAGGCAGCGTGCAGCGGAGCAGCGACCGAAAGGTCGCGATGTTCTTATTCATTGTTTTGCCGATCGGCGCGGGCCCTCGCACCCCCCCCTCCCCGCCCCTAATGGAGTATATCTTCGCTGTTTCTGGCGCCTGTTTCGAGCAGGTGGAGCCCCGCCCCCAAAGGACACACTGCTGCAAACAGTCGCACTAAGCAGAGGTCTGGAGCCAGACCTGCCAGACCCCCTACCCTTCCCCCACCTTTCCGCCCAATGTCGAAACGCCGAATAAGAAAACGCTCATAAGGCCAGCGCTGACCATTTTGGCATCCCCTCCCCTCCTCAACACTCCTTTGAAGTAACGTGCAGGGAAGGGACCTTCGAGGTGGCGCGTCTGGTCGCGGTGTTGCGTGCTATGCTTGCTGGCTTGAGCGAAAGAAAGGTGCCAGATCCAGCTGGAGACGACGAAGACCAGAGAACGTTTCAACCCACAGCCACAGTCTTCTCGTGCGCGCCAACGTCCTGGTTTAGCAGAGATCCCATACATGGGGCCCTGAGTTTGGGGACGGCCAGCGATCTCACACGCCGAGGGAGCCTCAGGAAATCGGCGAAGTTGCGGCGCACGGTCCACCAACCGTCAGCGCCCGCTGGCTGGTGCAACGTGTCGCTCTGGGCCTGCATGGCCCCACGGGAGGCGGCGGGCTCGAAGCAGGGGGGCAGGCCCCACGGCCCGAGAACGCGGGTGCGCTTACCCGGACGTGCAGGCGAAGCAAATCTGACGCCGAGGAGTCAAGACGTCGTTGCCACCTCAACGAGCATGTGCGACACCAGGCGTGCCTGTCCATGGCCAAGAGCGCGACTCGGCATGCTCGCTCCTTGTTAGCAGGGCGCCCCCCTTGACTGCGGCGGAACGTGCTCGAGACGGACCCTCAAGGTGCCGCACTGCCAACCTCGTGCGAGGGATCCCCGTCCGTCCACCCCCCCAGCAGCCCGCCCACCCCGTCAGACACTCCGTGCCTTCGCTGGCCGATGAGGAAGCCTCGTCAGGC